CCTTATTTGTTTATACCTGAAGCACCCCACATGTGCATTAGGAGGACGAATTTAAGAAGTAGATTCATAATCAAAGTACATTTTAAAAACCTTAGATTTATAACAAGACAGATCTCACTTATTCCTTCCTTGCTTCCTAATGCAGCAAATTCCTGACAAACATATCAAGATAGTCTTAGCTGCCAAGGGCAAAAAAAAAGGCTATTTGTAGGCACTGTGATAAGCAGAAAATATAAACTTTGAGTAGTTTAGTAAAATAGCCACTTCTTAAGAACTTATAAAATATATTAATGTCCCTGAGACAAATTACTTATTATAACTTACAAAACATATAATATTCATCTGTCTACAGAATGGATCTGATCATAAAAGGCCATCTACCATACAAAGAATATTTCTTTATAGATGAATTTACATTATTTGAGTCACTTTTTAGTTTAAGCACTTCTGTTTTCACAAGCATTACTGACATATTTTCTTTTTCTCCAGTGGGTCTTTCTAGGGTCAGGTGAGTTAAACCCTTTATATTCAGAATAGTTTCATTCCTGCCACACTTTTAACTATCATGCTGTCTTTCCCTGTCTCCTGTTTTTCCCTTGCTTGTCTTCCATCATGCAGTGCTGATACCAGATTTACAGAACATATGGGTGAATCATTCCTTTGACATACAGGTGTGGTGCAAAGACTTCTGCTGGGACCTTCTGTGGCTGTGACCTGGTGAACTGGCTAATTGAAGTTGGCCTTGCCTCCGACCGTGGTGAAGCTGTGATTTATGGCGACAGACTGGTGCAAGGGGGAGTCATCCAACATATCACCAATGACTATGAATTTCGGGATGAGTACTTGTTTTACAGATTCCTTCAAAAGAGTCCTGAACAGAGTCCTCCTGTTATTAATGCAACCACTCCCCAGCAGGAAAGATATAAAGAAATTGAGCCTTCATCCCTATCCCCTAAGACCTAAATTATAAAGGACAGAATTCAACACAGAGTCAAATTTTAGCCCCAGATCTGTTACTTATTAGCTGTGTGACCTTGGGTAAATCACAACCTCTCTGAGCCTCAGGTGCCTCTTCTGTAAAATTTTATGTCTTCCCACCCCATGCTAACATTCTTCATTTTATGTGAATGTAAAACAGAGGAAACTGACACAGGAAAAAGAAAAAAATGAAATCAAAATTTAAAGTTTTGAATGAATATAATCATTACTAATTATTAATTATTAAAAACTAATTATGCCAACATTTTAAAACAATGCTTCCTGCAACTGTTTGCTGTAATTTCAAAATCAACATCCAATTTACTATTTCTTTAAATTGCCAAATTTTGCAGGTATATTGCTGTCAGGACATAGACCTTAAATTATGACAACTTTGAACTTATTGATAGCACCTCCGAAAAAAGGATTTTAGTGATTCTAATAAAAGGCCTTCTTTTTCTATTTTTTCCATTTTCTTGACAAATAGTACTCATTAAAAATTAGAAGTACTATTTTTTAAGGTTTACCTTTTCTTGCTTTTCTATCCAAAGTACTAATCTGTGCCACTAGGAGAGGAATAAGAACTTCCATAAATCTTATCATCTCCAAAATCCATCAATACAAGTGTAGTCTAATCTTTAACTTTTGTACTAAAAATAGTAATTTGAGCAGATTCACTTATATTTTATCAATAAAATTATGGCCATGTGATGTATCATTTCTGGTGTTTGCACAAACATTACAGTGCAGAAGAATAACCCTATTACCTTATTCCTTGCAGTTAAAAAGAAAATAAAACTATAACTTCAAGCCAAGATTTTAAAATTCTAAGCCTAACATCCTACTTTTACATTTAGAATGTAGTCTTTTTAGTGTCCATGTATAAAAATCTATAAATTTAAAAATTACTAAATATTGTCCTCAGATAAGATTTATCTTCTTCAGTAAATTAAAAAGAGATCTATCCACATGACCTTTGAACCCCACTTAATTATTAGATATCTGTTTTGGCTTAATTTATTTAAAACATGTTTCAAATATTTATTTATCTCATACCTTTAGTTTCTCATGTAAGTCATTTAGAAAATAATTTATAGGGTTAAATTATTGCCCTTTTAATACGTAATTTTTTAAAATACCTGCATAGAAGCCTAGTGTATTTAACAAGTGCAGGCACACCTTGGAGATATTGTGGGTTCGGTTCCAGACTGCCGCAATAAAGCAAATATGGCAATAAAGTGATTCACTCAAATTTTTGGTTTCCCAGTGCATAAGAAAGTTATGCTTACAATATAATGCAGTCTAATAAGTGTACAATAACATTATGTCTAAAAAAATGCACATACTTTAATTAAAATATACTTTATTGCTAAAAATACTAACCATCATCTAAACCTTTAGTGAGGCGTAATCTTTTTGCCAGTGGAGGGCCTTCAATTTGTAAAAAACGCAGTTATCTGTGAAGTGCAATAAAGCAAAGCGCAATAAAACAAGGTATGCCTGTAAATTATACTTTAGTGTGTAGTATTAACCTATACCAATTTTAAATTATGATTAGGGGATGGGGATGTTTTTCAGCCAAACTGTCTTGCTGCAGAACTTTTTTTTTTAATATGACCACAATATAACTCTCAGAATGCTCAGGAGTAAGCATAAAGCCTTGTTGCTGTGTCAAGAGACTTTTATAGCTACAGCAATAGACATATTCACATGCATGCAGGCAACTCAAATTCAAGTGGAAAATTCGTTGTTTGTAAACAAGTCATACTACACATGTTCTGTTATTTGCACGAAGAAAATCAGCAGCATCGTTTTCCATGGGAGACATTAAAAAGAAAATATTGGGTCAGAATGATCGGTAGTTTCAGATAATGAAGGCTTTTAAGAGATGTTTTTAGGATTAAGGATATGCTAATTTTATTAAATAAAACTATTTGTAACCTTTACTCTCACTGACAAAGCAAGTTTCTCAATAAAATACCTATTTTAATTTGCATTGCCCCATCTTTTCTTTGAGTAATCTGAATAACGCAAAAGTCATCATTGAGGTCTTTTCTATAAGTTTTCAATATTTTCTTAAATGGGTCTCCTGAGATTTTTCCATTCTTCATGAACCTACTGGATCTGTGCACAGGGCCTTGCCCAATTATGCATTCAGTAAACATTTTTTATTCATGACTCAATATGACATTAGAGTCCTTTCACATATTTCATAATTTTTAATATTCAGGGTCACAGCTGAGAAAATTATCTAATACAATTTTGATAAAAATCTACTATTCTTCAGCATGATCAATAGTTCTTCTCTTTGTTCTCAGTGAGTAATCCCATGGCTAGTTATGTTTAAACTTCAATTTTTTAGAATAAGGTAAAGTGTGCTTGACATTTTAAGAATAATGATTAAGTGATCGATAAGTTTCTAAAGAAAAATGTACAACTATTATTTAACATGTTTTCTATGCAGCAGAATATAGCTGTTTTTGTCCGTTCATATCTCGTATCATGTAAAATATTATATTACTTTAGACCAATGGACATAGGTAGTCAAGTGATGAGTGATGGTTGGAAATACAGTTCAAGATCAGAAATATCACCACTATTCTTCAGGAAAGATACATTTCTACAATTGGTATGATAAAAGCCTAAAGTAAATTATTAAGAAGAGAAAATAGTCACTCTGTAGAACTTGTTTTTGGCAAATTTTACAGGTAGGCACTAAATTTCCAAAATTCTAGGCTGCATAATTATTTCTAGGGCAAAATTTTGGGTTGAAGATTAATATATAAATTGATGTTTTCATCAAAGATCAAACAAACTAGCTTTCTCTTACATTTTCAGTTTATTGGATTATTTCCTCATTTATTACAGAATGGTAAATAATAAACCAAATCATTTAAGGGTTGACCAAAGAAAAGCTTAATTTCAGCTACTACATTTTTTTACTCTTAAGAAACACAATATATCACAAGGCATAAATTATACACATAAGCAGCAAAGCCCAAATACCATTACTGGATTTATAGAGTGAAAGTCTCCTAAACTATTTTATAGATTAATTTACATGTCCTTATAATAATCCTTGTCTTAATCTGGGAGATAGTTATTATTCCCATTTTGAATATGGAAAAAAGGTAACAGATTGACCTGAGACTTATCAAACACTACCAAGTTGTGCAAATAAATGTCTACCAAATTTTCTTAACTTTACAGGTAGAGAAGAGGACTATAAATTCTTTCCATCAGTATTTGAATGTTCATTTAACAAAATATTTATTGAATGTCCAGCTTGTGTCAGACACAGTGTTGAACACTGAGGACACAAGAGTGGGAACAAATATGGTTCTTATCCTCATAGAGCTTCTACTGTGAAAGACACGTTAAACATATAATTACATTTGTGATCAGCATTACATGTGGCTCTGAGCATGTAGCAAGAAACTTGACCTTGTGGTGTGGGGAAAACCCCTGAGGAACTCATGTTTCAGCAAAACTCAAAATGGAGGAAAAGAACTATTTATATAAAGAGGAGCAAATGAATGGTGCAAGCAGAGAGTACAGACATGATGAAGGAACTGGACTCATTCAAGGAACTGAAAAAGCATAGTAGAAATTAAAAAAAAACAATGGCAAAAGTGTAATAAGATATATAGATGGGGGCAGATCAGCAAGATCTTGTTGATAGTTATTAAGGATTTGGACTTGTCTCAATGACACTTTAGAAGAGTTTTAGATTCAACAATAAGAAAATGAAAGACCAGACTTTTAAAATGAACAAATGATCTGAACAGCTATCTTACCAAAAAAGATATACAAATGTATTTGTAAATAAACATATTAAAAGCTGTTCCACATCCTATGTCATCAGAGAAATGAAAATTAAAACAATGAGATACCACTACGCACCTAATAGAATGGCCCAAAACCAGAACACTGACAACACCAAATGCTGGCAGGCATGTGGAGCAGCAGGAACTCTCATTCATTGCTAGGGGAATGCAAAACCAAACACATTCTTACCACTGTCCAGCACTCATGTTCCTGGGTATCTACCCAAGTGAGTTAAAAACTTAACGTCTATACAAAAACATGCAGACTGATATTTATAGCAGCTTTATACATAATTGCCAAAACATGAAAGCAACCAAGATGTCCTTCATAGTGGATATCACCAGGCAAGCTATCCAAACAATGGAATATTATTCAGCACTAAAAAGAAATGTTATCAAGCCACGAAAAGACATGGAGGAACCTTAAATGCATACTACTAAGTAAGTTAAAGAGCCTGAAAAGGTTACATACTGTATAATTCTAACTATATGATATTCTAGAAAAGGCAAAACTATGGAGACAATAAAAATATAAGTGGTTGCTGAGGTAAGGGGTGGGAGAGATGAAAAGGTGAAGCGCAGAGCAGTAAAACTGCTCCGTATGATACTGTAATTATGGATACATGCATTATACACTTGTCCAAACCCACAGAATGTACAATGAGTGAACCCTAATATAAACTATGGACCTTGGGTGATGATGATATGTTAATGTAGGTTCAGCAATTGTAACAAATGTACCCCTCTGGTGTGGGATGTTGATGGGTGTAGCGGGGAATGGGATGGGGGGATATGGGAACTCTACTTTCTGCTTAGTTTTGCTCTAAACCTAAAACTGTTCTAAAAAATAAGGTCTATTTTTTTTTTTTAAGTTTTAGGAAGTAAATTCATGATCCAATTTAAATTTTTAAAAGATCACTTGCTGCAATGACTCATGTGGATAGAATAAAGAACAAAAATGAGTGTAGAACAGTTAACTACAGTTGTCCAGGAGAAAGACAGTGCTAGTTTGGTCTCAGGTGGTGTCGAAAGGGAAAGTGAAAACATGCTGGCCCTTGAGAAAGAAACAGATTAAAGTATGTGTTCCTAAATAAACCAATGAACTGCTTACCCTTAGTTCCTCATATATTAAAAAAAAAGTGAGAGGAGGTGTATAGGGGTTGGCCAAGGGTCTTCATGATTCAGGGAGAACCTATCACTGAACTGTATATAAGGCGAACGCAGAATTAACTGAGTACTTGAGACAGATACCCTTTTGTAATGGCAGTTCTGTAAAAAAAAGAGCAATATCAGGCAGATTATGGTTTTTATAAAAGAACTTTTAAAAAGTAATTTCCTGGATATTCTTTAAATATAATGATCCACTACTTTAGTAATAATCCTAGTTGCAATGATAGCAGTCAATAAATATGATAATGTAATTATTAGATATTTATCTAAAATGGACATTTCTAGAAGCCAATAAATACATAGAGGTATTTTGAGTTAGATTTTTCTTGTTTATATTTGCAATTTGAGTCTTACTTGATATTCTCAATGTAATTTAACAAAGTTTTATAAATTTGGGGCAGATATTATTCATTTATAATATTCATAATAATAATATGTTAAACTCTTCTTAATGTTCATAATACACTAATAATTCATTGCTATTTATTATTCATTTATAATATTATTCATTGCCATATTATTCATTTATAATATTCATAATAATACATTAAATTTGGGGCAGATATTATTCATTTATAATATTCATAATAATAATATGTTAAACTCTTCTTAATGTTCATAATACACTAATAATTCTATTTCATCGCCACTAGCTCCTTCCTGTTCCTGTTTTCACTGAGTAAAGAGAAGTAAAAGATGAGAGAGATCTGAGACACAGAAACAGTGTCTCCTAAGATCTTGGTTCCCTTATCCCATTTTCTAATCTCCTAGACAAGCTCTTCTAAAAATATTAACATAAAAGCCTATTAAGGGCATGACCAAAAAAATGCTAGCTAATTAGAGCAAACACTCACTGGTCAGCCAAATAGTGACAAAGAGTATGTTTGACTTTAATAAAAGTACATCTGCAAAATTAATACACTGTATTAAGACTTAAAATGTGTAAATCTAGAAAGTTGTATTAGGGCTGGTTAATATTTGCCTAAAGCACAAAAAAAACTCATTACAAGAGATAGTAGTTTTCATTACTAAAGAAAAATATGCTTTCTTGTTATAATTGAGAAAATTATTTGAGGATAATACATAATTATAATAAATATATATCTGTGCATTATTTTAATGTTTCATGCTTTATGCAGAATTGAATATTTAATTATTATAGCTAAAAACAAAGTAACACAGGTGAGTACCTGATGTAACACCTGGCTATCCCATGATATATGTGTCCAATTCTAGTGTTATTGTCTTTCTCAATATTTTAGTAATTATATGTAGTTTTAATAGTCAAGCTATCACTTGAATGTTGTTAAAGAATAATCATATCTGCTCATACTAGGTTTATATCATTTACCAAGATGGTTGATTCTTACTTTGAGGAGGATTGCTGACCATTTATATGGTCATTAAGAACTAATATTTGACATATAAATCCTAATTTCATCTTTTGTACACTGAGGAAAAAGATTAACAATTTTATCCACATCAAGATGTTTGTTTTGAAGGATTGATTCCATCTCTTTAAATAGTTCTTTCTCCAGTTTCTTCATGTTGTCCAACATTGTTTTGGCTTTTTCCTGAACAATTAAACAACAAAAATAAATAAACATATACACACACACACACACACACTTGTAACCAAATTCCAACCAATCTCTATAGCCAAGGTTTGTTCATTCTGGTTTCTACTTCTGGTTTGCTTCTCCTCCTCCTATTCATTATATATGGAAGGAATGAAGTTTTTTCAGAAAAATTATTGCTCTAGATTGAGTTAATATATTAACCCCAAATTATTGGTAATTTTTAGTAGAAAAGACAAGTATAGCTAGGTAGGATTAGTCTATAAGCAAGAAACCTAAAAGACAAATAACAGGACAACTGAAAATCTCTAATTATATATGGGGAAGGCTGCTGAAAATCAAGGCTGAGACATTTTTATGAATTTAAATCTTCTATATTTAAAAGCAATATCAGATTAAACAAAGGAAATAGAACAGTAATGTCCAAGAGAAAGAGCAATAAAAAGTTAGAAAGTTACTAGAAAGTGAGCATAATTTTTAAAATCTGAACCATTATGGGACAAACCTCCACAAAACAAAGATTCTTAACCTTAACAAGGACTTCAATATGAAATTATATGTAAATTTTTCTAAAGAAACTGCATTTCATGCCAGTGGAGAAAAATATATATTTTGCCTATAAATGGTATTGTAATAATTGGTCACCTCTTCAGAAAACAAAGTTAGAATCCCTACTTAATAGCATATACAAAAATAGATTCCAGTTGAATTAAAAAACTAAATTTTTTTTCAAACATACTAGAAGAAAATACAGAATTTATATTTATTTTGAGGTGATGGCCTTTTGAAGCATGAAATTGAGATGACTTAAACAAACATAACTGACTAAATTTAAAATTTTTGACAAAAAAGTCAAATGAACATTAAAATTTTGAAATATAACAAAGACCTAATATTCATATGTTTTTCCTTTTTGAGGCAAAAGACAAAAACAACCAAGAATCAATTGAAAAATCGGCTAAGGAAAAAAACAGTTAAGTCTTAAAAGGAAAAACTCATGGCCAATAAACATAGGAGATTTTCAACCTCATTAGTAATCAAGAAATGTAAATTTAAATTACCAGTATAACTGACTCTTCCTAAGACCCAAAAGCAGTTATTTAGAGAGTCAGGACTAGAACACAATTCTTTGTCACTTCTACCCTCAAATTCTATTGTCTTTCCACTATTTTATGTTTCTCAACCAATATTTAATGCCTACTAAATTAAGCCTAAAATACTAACAGCTTTTAAAATTTCATTTCAGTATCACTTAGAAAAATTGTAATCAGTAATTTAGTTTAATTAACATTTAATTATATGTCTACAAAACCCACCTCCCAAAAGCAGTCTAGAGGGATAAAAGGAAGCAGACAACTGTAGAGAACTATCATAAGCACTATGGACAATGCGGAGGCTACTCAGGGAAGAGTGAGGGAAAATTCCTTCAGAGCAGATGCTCTTGAAACATCACTGAGGAACTGCAGCAAAGGCAAGAAAAACCAGAGGGCACATCATATTTTACAGTGCTGTGCTAAGTCAGGAGGGTAAACCAAGCAAGCCCAGGGAGTAAGTGGATGACACCTCTGGCCATGCAGACTGGGCCCTCCTCAGCACAAGTAGCGGACTTCTAGAACAAAATGTTTGCTTCTCACTTCATACTTTCAGGCTACAAAAAAATTGTTTGTAGGTCAGAAGTGAAAACAAACTGGTCCCAGATAAAGGAAGAGTAGTGTCAATTCACAGCAAATAGGGGGAGGGCTGGACAAAACTCTCTGCTTTAAGCAAAAGAGAAAGATGGGGCGGGGGAAGGCAGTGGGGTGGGGGGAAGGCAACTATGTAAACATTACAGACAAAAGTAAATAAATAATTGCCCAGAGGAAAATTCATTTAATTCATTTTCTTTAGAAAGAATATAAATGAATATACATTTTACTTGATGAAGTAAAAGGAACTATAGGCAATGAAAATCCAGAGCTAGTAGAAGCAGGCGAGAAAAGGTATAAAATGACCAATCTTTTCCTTCATTGCAGGGAATCAGTTGATGCTTCTGTGAAAAGCCTTTAGGTAGCCCTTTCATTTCCTTCTCATCTAGAAGAGGGCAGGAGGACTGAAGAAGTATGGATATTATAAAATTATTTGTCTATCTATCTACCTATCTATCCGTGCTCCACCTCCCATCCCAAATACATCTGCTTATTTCTGGAGATGAGATTTTGGGTGATATGTTAATATATTATCCTTATATTTTAAAATAATAAGCATTTATAATTTTTTAAAAACTCTAACTCATTATTATTATTTTAAGATTATGGGATGTTAAGTCACTTTTAATTAAAATTAATCTGAGTCTACATAAGAACATCATGTAAGAGACCATGCCCTCCAGTGGCTTTGTAATTTTTGGTATAAGATATATCCTAAGTAATCTACTTAAACTCTCCAAGTCTCAAATTTCTTATCAATTAAAGTGAGATAATAATAGTACCTACCTCAATAAAGAGGTCGTGAAGATTAAATGAAATAATTGTCTAATAGTACCATGATGTTTGGTGTATAATAAGTAATCAATAAACAGTTATTGATACTATGATTAATATACTACATTTCTCTAAAAGATTCACAACACATTCTTAACCATTATTTTTAACCAGAAGTAAAAAATAATACAACTCTACAACAGTGTAAACATCTAAACTCTTTTTAAACCTATCTGTATATGAAGGAAGAAAAGCTGAAATTCTAAAGTTCAAAATATGGATTGAATCACCCCTTATTCATAATGATAAAACAGAGAATATAATCTAATTTTACCTCCTTATTATATATTACTTCCAATGCCTGTTGATGTTCTCGGTAGAGTGGATGCCTTCTGTCAAGCTTAATCTTAAAATGTGGTTTCTTTTTAACTGGATCTTCAAGTTCAAATATTGGGGAACTAGTGTCCAATAGTTGCGAAATATTCGGTACAAATATGAAAGGCTTAAAAACAGATCTGGAAAAAAAAGTTTTTTATTAAATTGGAATTTGGGATATAAAAATGTTCAGCATTATTCTAAATATTCTAAGGTTCCCTATAGTTAGAAGTTTCTATGAATTTGTTACACACCAATGTGTTCCTGTCATACTAGTTATAGCCATGCCTGTCTTCCTGGGCACACCGGGATCTCCTTTGGTGTAGGGGACCGCACTTTATTTAGCCTTGTATTCCCATGAACCTAACTAAAGGCCTGGCATGTAAACAGTGTCAAGTGAAATTATAGTTCATCATTTTCTATTACAAACTCCACACCTGGAGGGTAAAAACAATTCTCAGATTGAGGATTTGGATTTGGGATGAAAATCAGCAGCAGTATTAATAAGGGGTTCACAGGTTTCATTCCATTATCTTGAAAATATCTTTAATAATATGAAAAACTGTAACACTAAGAGATAGTGAATATAAGATCATTTCTGAATGTAACGTGCATTAAGTTTTGTGAGAGATACTAATGACTTAAAGTAGTTTATACAAATTCTACTAAACTCAAACTATTGATATTTTAAGTTTTACATGGATGTATTTTCTAAATTTGAGTGCATAAGTAACCATCTAAATCCTGTTATTAATCATCTAATATTGTAATACTAAAATTTGCATAAGAAAACCTATCTACTTTCTTTTCTTGATCATGTTAAATATACTTGGGGAAAGAGGGTATAGGGATGACAAGAAACTATTAACACTTCTTCCCATAAAAAAGAGAATAGTTATGGCAGTTATGAACATATGGAAATGGCAGACTAAAACCTGAACAGAAAATGCATCCAAAAATTTTTGTATTTGTTTAACAAAAATTTAGCCCAACAAAATCAACAACAGACTAATGACTATCCAACCCCCCAACCCCTTGCTGGTTTATAGTATTTTGTGACTTTACCTCTCAGGATCAGGAGTCCCTGTAAAGAAGTGAATGCAAGGAAGGTTGGAGTCTTGAGGTAAAATCGAAACCATGCTGGCAGTGGTCAGGAATTCTCCCTCCATATTAATGCCACTTGGTTTATCTCGGAGAATTTCCATCATTGTTTCAAAAGTTATGTTTCCTAGGGAAATAATTTTTAAAACCATCAAATATGTATAAATTTATAGGTTGGTATCCTGCAAATATGAACTTCTTTTTCTACTGATAATGTATAACATGAGATATTGGTCTAGGTATAAATTAAATAAGAGATTGACTACAAACACACCTTGGATCCTAACTGTTAGAAGAAAACTGTTGGAAGAAAAATAATTTTTTAAAAGTATAAAATATACAACGTCTCAAAACCATTTTAACAGGTAAAAATCTGTGTAACTTTCTAAGAAGGAATCAATATTGCAAAAACACAATCTTACTGTCCTTATAAAATATTTTAAGGTATATTTAGTTAGCAATGAGCTGACAATATCCATAACTATTTCTGAATCTATACATTCTGGCAACCAACTTTTAAAAGAATATTGTGCTTAGTTTCCAATACTATTATTCAAGATGTTCTTTGCAAAATAACAAATTATTTTTCCTATAATTTCTCTGCCTGAAAATTAATACTTTTATATGAAAGTGTGAATTGAAACTTGAGTGGGAATGGAGAAAAAAACATGTTATTGGTTAATGGAATCTGTGCATAATTCTACTGGACTGGTTTCAAAGCTTAAATGTGCATTGTATCTGATGAAAATGGATGGCATTATATCCTGTTTTCTGCTTTTATATGTAAAGTGAGATATTTTAAGTATTTTTAGAAAAAAAACATATTTTATCTCTTTAGCAAACACAACATGTCCATGGTTACAGAGAGCCTCAGAATTCCCTTTTTAGAAGGCGTGTCCACCAACAAATATAAAAAGCCTCTCATGTCTTCAGACAGCTCTACTCCTTGTTATACATGTCCATAGTCAAAGATGTGGTTTGGGATCTAACTACTGCATGACAAGATGAATAATCTTACCCCTACACAAAGTTGTCCTCCAAAAGTAGCCAAAACATCTTCTCACGTGTCATAATTCTCCATAAATTATGACTCCCAATTCCACCTGAATCAAATTAAAACTCCTTTCAATGAAAACTTACTACTCAGCTTAACTGAAATGACCTTTTCCTCTCCATCTCAGCATTCCTAATACTTTGTCTATATTGGTCCGAACTCTGCCATTAAACAATAAATTCTCTAAATACAAGAATGAGATTTTTCTTTGTAATCTAAGCGCCTACCTTAATAAACAAACAAACAAACAAATAAATAAATACAAAATAAAAGAGTAAAATAAGCCTGAAGCAAGCAGAAGGAAGGAAATAAAAGGTAAAAGCACCCATCAGTGAAATTGAAAGCAGAAAAATAGAGAAAAATCAATGAAACAAAAATCTGGTTCTTTGTAGAGAGCGATAAAAAATCTCTAGTAGACTGACAAAAAAAGAAAAGACACAAATTACAAAATTATCAATATCGGGAATGAAACAGGGGTATCATGACAGATCCTGTAGACATTAAAAGCATAAGGGGATACTACAAACTATCTGTACACATAAACTGACAATTTAGAGGAAAAGGACCAATTCTTTGAAGAGCACATACACCAAAACCACCAAAACTCAGTCAGTATGAAACAGATTATTTGACTAGTCCTATAACTTTTAAAGAAATTGAATTGGAGTTTATAATAACTCCTAGAAAAGAAATCTACAGGCCCAGATGGTTTCAGTGGAGAATTCTATCAAATATTGAAGGAAGAATTAACTCCAATTCACACTATCTATTCCAGAAAATAAAAAAGCAAGGGACACTTCCTGATTCATTTTATGAGGCAAATATTACCCTGTTAATAATGTGCATCTATAAAAAGCTACAGCTAACACTATACTTAATGGTAAAAGACTAAATACCTTCCCCCTAAGACAGGGCACAAGGTAAAGATGCCTGCTCTCACCATTCTTATTCAGTATAGCTCTAGAAGTCCTAGCCAGTGCAATAAGGCAAGAGGAAAACAAAAATAAAAAGCACACAGATTGGAAAGGAAGAACTAAAATTGTTCCTGTGTGTAGAGGACATGATAATCTATACAGAAAATCCAAAGGTATATACAAAACAAACAAAAACAAAAAACTCCTAAAACTATGTTGTTAGTTTAGCAAGGCCACAGGATATAAGATCGACATACAAAAAATAATTCAATTTGAAATTTTGAAAATTCTCATTAAGGAACAATTTATTTAAGCTCTGTAGAAAAGAACTAGATACATTGTTTTCTTGTTTAGGTTGAGATTACAAATATTTTAAGTCCAACTTCCCTTCAGAATCCTAACAAAATAATTTTGAAATGCAGATAAAACTTAATGAACAAAAATATTCACTGCAACATGATTTACAGAGGTAAAAAATTGGAAACAACTAAATGGCGAACAACGTATTTGTCACTTGCCTGTGTTCTCCCCTCTATTAGTTGCTACCTTCCAAAAGGTCACAGACCATATCAAACATGTGTGCTGCTATGTGGCCCCATGCCTAGCACAGAGCAAGAGCTCACAAAAGATTTCTTTGATAAAAAAAAAAAAAATTCAATATGGAAAAACCTAGATAAATAAAACTATAAAAGTTTATTTAGGAACACAAAAGAAAATTTCAATAAATGTACATCTTGTTCTTGAATAGAGAAGGCAATATCATTAGATGTCAATTCTCTCCTAAAATAATCTACAGTTTTAATTTAATTCCAGTCAAACCTCAAAAAGATTTTTGGGGAGAGAAGCTGAAAAAATGATCGTAAAATTCATCTGGAAAAAAAATGAATATTCGAGAATTGCCAAGAAAATTCTGAAAAAAAAAAAAGTAATAAGGAAGTACTTGTCCTACCACATTTTAAAAAGCAGTATTATAAATTCACTCATATTGTTCTTTGGCTCAAGCACTGAACACTTACTAGATACACTTACATTGTTCTAAACAAAACTGGACAAAACACAGTAATCTAATTTATACATGGGTTTACTTAAGAATTTATATTAGATAAAGTTGGTTGGCATTTTAACTCAATAAAGATAATTCATTTCTTTAATGAATAAGTGGTGCTGAGACTTCTGAAAAATCATTTGAGGGGTGGGGAAAAAAAGCTGGAATCCTAATTCATACATTATTTTAGAATACTTCAAGAAGAATTTGAATTTGAATTTATAAAATAAAACTATAAATATAAGATATTGAGAACCTTTTCTGGTACAGTGAAAATGATCCTTCTGAAAGCATGACAGTGATAGAAACCATGTGAAAAAAATTCCACAAGGGACAAAAAAATCAACCCTTTTATTATTAGTTTTTTATTTATTCCAGGTCAACTCTATCCCCTTTCCTCCCTTTTTGCCCTCTTTTGAATTTTTCAAGTATTTATTATTCTAATTCTATGCTATTAGCTTATTTATACATTCTTTTATTTTATTAATATCTCTTGAATTATTATATTCTACCTTAAATTACTACTTCACTTATCAGTTAACACAAGGATCTTAAAACACTTTAACTCCAACTACTGGCTCCTGTCTTTTCTGCTATTCTTATATATTTAATTCTACTGTGTTCTACTGGGTCTTTTGAGAATCAAATGCTACAACATGGGATTAAATGTATAAGAATTTTATACAGGAAAATGCCTGTAAGAGAAACTGTGATACAAGTCTGAACCTGGGTTTAGTACAGAGGGAATAAAGGTTGGGTGGAAATGTCCTAGATTGTCATACCACCTAAGGAAAGTTTGGCAAGGCCATCAGGGAATCCTTGACCCAAAGTCAGCTATCAGAGGAGTCCCATGCATCCAAGTAACAGGCCTGCCTTAGTCTCCCTGCCACTTTCACTCACTGGCCAGGAGCAGCCTGTGGGAAGCGTAGTCAGTATTAAATGAAATCCATGCACAACAGATTTTGAGTACTGTAGCTGCAGCAATTGGCAATTGGTCATACAATTACTATTATCTTAAAAAGTTAATATTCATTTAATTTCACCCATGTATTTCCTGCTTCTGTTGTTCTTCAAGCACTCTTGCTTACCTTGCTTCTCAGATCATTTTTCCTGCCTGAAGAATGACCCTTAGTATTTTAGTGCCAATTGGCTAGTGATAAATTCTCTTGATTTTATTTCAAATTCATTTTTTGGAGGATATATTCCCTGAGTATAGAATTCTAAGTTGGCAGTTATTTTTCTCTGTAACTTTAAAAGTTTCATTTTTACAGTCTTCTGGATTCTCTTTCTTCTATTGAAAAGTTAGCTGTCATTTGCTCCTTTGAATATATTCATTTCCTTTGACGCTTTTAAGATTTTCTATTTTTTTCTCCTTTAGCAATCTTACCATGATGTATCAGGTGTGGTTTCTTTTTATTTATCCTTCTTGAGATTTGTAGAACTTCTTGAAGGTGTGGCTTAATGACTTTTATTAGTTTGGAAAAAATTCTTGGCCAGTATTTCTTCAAATATTGCTTTTGTCCCTCCATATTTTCTCCTTTTCTGTTCGGACTTTAACTACACATATGTGAACCCTTTTCACTAAGTCTCACATGCCTCTCACACCCTTGTCTATATTTTCCAAACTTTTATTCTCTGTTTCAATTAGGATCTTTCCATCCACTATTTTTTTCTTCTGCTATGTCTAATATGTTATTAGACTAATCTATTGAGTTCTTAATTTCAGTTATAATTTTATAGTTCTATTATTTCTATTCGGATCTCTTTTATATATTCCAGTTCTCTGATGAAATTCTCCAGCTTTTCAACTAATTTTCTTGAATGTATAAAACACATCAATATGAAAGTCTGTGTCCAATATGTGGCTAACTAGGGACTTGGTTTCTACTTTATGCTTTCTCTTGGTTTTTAGTCATGTGGTACTATTTCTTGGTATGCCTGATAACTTGTTATTAATTGCTGGACTATAGATGAAAATTGTAGTCTCTGCATGATATTTTCCTCCATAGAGGATTTAATTTTATTCTGGCAAATGGAGTATAGGTAGATTACCTATTGATCCAGTTGAGACTGGTCTTTTTCCTATTTGTTCTTATTTCTAAAGTGTAGCCTTT